GAGAGAGAGAGAGAGAGAGAGAGAGAGAGAGAGAGAGCACACTTCTGCCTCTCATGAAACCTCAATTGCGAGCTCCCCTACTACAATTTCATGGAGCATATTTAAATGGAGGTTGCTGTTTCCCAAAGTGACAATTTTGACCTTTAACCTGGAGCTGCAACTAACTATTATTTTCATTATCAATTGATCTGTAAATTACTTTTACGATCAATCATTAATGATTTAGTAAAATGTCGGAAAACTGTGAAAAATGCCCGTCATAATTTTCTAGAAGCTGAGGAGGCGTCTTCAAATCAACTTCTGTTCGACCAACACTCCAAATACTAAAGACATTCAATTTATAGTAATATAAAAGAGACAAAAGAAGAAAATCCTTGAGTTTGAGATCAGGAAACATTTTTACCATCAGTCGCATTAAAACTATTAATCCCTGATCAAAATTGTTGACAATTATCATTCTGTCAAATGATTAATGGATTAATCGACTAATTATTTCAGCCCTGATTTAACAAAAGTCTAAAAAGGTAAAAGACAAGATCATTTCAATTAATATATCTATATTACGATGAATGAGGATAAATGAACTCACATGAAATATCAGCTGTTAAACTTGTACTAACAGCTGACTCAGTGCTGCCATCTTGTTTGTTGTAGGAGGCCGTACAGGAGATTGTCTTTCCATGATGGTTTTGAGAGGCAGTGAAGGTCACAACAGAGGTCTTGACTTTAGTTTTGTCCTGATTCTCCTGCAGTGTCTCCACACTCTCACCCAGGTGGGGGGTCCATGTCACAGTTGGAGGATGAGACAGACAGGGAGCTGGAGCAGAGCACATCAAACTCACCGAGGTTCCCTCCTTCACCTTCAGTGCTGACGGAGTCAGAGTCGGTCTGGCAGGAACATCTGGTGAGAAGGTACATTTGAACCAGTCACTAAACAATCAGTTCTCCATTTTGTTTACTATTCTCCAAATGCAATGAAGGCAAAACAAAGTCAGAGCAGTTCTACAAGAGAAATGAATGAGTGAAATGTAAGTAGACAGACTTTAATACCTGTGAATGAAATAGAGATTTGATCAGCAAAATTATATTTCAGGTCATTGTCACATCCCAGCCTGAAGAAATAGTTATTGCTGTTATCAGGTTGCATGTTGTTCAGGGTTGTGGTGCAGTCTTTTCTTCTCAAGTCTCCTCTCAGTTCTCTCTTTATTGTACTTGTTTGTGGATTACTGCTGTCAAACACAGTCTTCTGATCAATTCTCCATATTGCTCTACATGTGTTATCTAAGTGTGCATTGTATTTGTCCTCTATCTCAAAGGAGCAGGGGATGGTCACACAGGATCCTTTAAGAACCTTTATAGTCTTCGGTATAGACGCCTTAAACTCTCCACACAGGGCACCTGAAACACAAGAAACACATCTTGAATAAGAACAAGTGAATAATACTTTACAGTCATGAGGATTCTTTACTGTTTGGTTGCCTTGCTAAAACCTTACCACTATACATTATTCTTAGAATAATCCAAAATGATGAATGTAAAGATTCTGCTTTGTTCCCACAGTGTTTATTTTTCTCGATGTTTAGATTAAATAAATTATTCAGCCATCAGATTAAAGTTTTAAGAAAAAGGAAGCAGAACACTTTTGTGGCTCACTGTGTTCTTCATTTGCTGCAGCATGTATTACAGATACTGTTGTACTGTGGTGTGACTACTTGGCTAACATTGTGTAGTGATAGTTTTTGATCATTTTTAATACTCAATGATTCAATTATGAATTTACTTCAGCTCACCTTGCAGCAGAGAACCAATGAGAAGGAGAGTCAGAGCTGCAGACATCTTTGTGTGTCAGGAGAGGCAGAAACTCTGGAGATTACACATGAAACAATTCACTTATTTAGAGCATTTCATCCCTAATTAACGATTTAAAGATTATTAAAGGAAGGTTTATGAATGAGGCAACTATTGAATGCAATATTTGCAGAGGTTGCTGGTGGAGAAATGTTTTGCTGAGCCTGTATTTGTTTTAGATCTTTATCAATGTGAAGACTGTGTGATTCTGAGACAATGAAACTCAACTGAATTAAATTACTTTTGGTGTGTCAACACAATCACACAATTGAACAATTAAATTAAACATAACTTATTTAAATTATTGATTTACAAATTTGCCAGGCTTTTATGAAAGCTGGTGATGGAGATATTCAACAAAAGTGTAATACTGGTTTAGTGTTTCTACTGAGTGTGAGAGAAAAACAAATACTTGTTTGTTATGCTTTAATATTCAGTTCATCACTGAAACAACAAGCTGCTATTTATAACTTGTAAAACTTGTAAGAAGAAATGATGATGAAATGGAAAAACAGGAAGAAAATTGCTGAAAGAAAAACCGACAAACAAACAGTTTATTTTATTTATTTCTTTAAATACTAACAGAGTTATTGTTTTAGGCTAATATTTTCAACAGTAACAATGTCCAAAACCACAACCAAATGACGGATTAAAAGTTTCAAAGTGTTGTCCCTTTCAACAAATTTATTTAAATTTTTACTTTTGAAATTGTTCATTGTTCTAAAGTATATTTACTTAATGTTTACGTTTTTAGTATTTAGTATTTTATTCAAATCCGTTTTAATTATTTATATTTTAATAAAAGATATGATGACTTACATTGTCTTCAGGTCTTTCGTGCAGATAGATGGAAGATGTGTAGAGAAGTGAAGTTCCTTAAAAGTTGTGCTGCTTTTTCAAACAACTGCAAGATTTGAAAATGAGGAAGTCACTAAAGGGCGCATGGGTGCGACTATGAAATGTACTTATTTATCAGACATGATTTTAGACTGTCCCACATTTGTCCTAAACCGAGCTTTTACTTTACCCACATATATATTTTTTATCCAAATATTGAGTCTTTTGGCCTGAAATAAAACAAAATCTTTGCATTACCAACCTGGTAAAGGGAATTTTTGTAAATGATTAAAACACAACAAAAACCTATAATGAGCCTTTATTGTCAAAGCAATTTGCACAGATATTATAAAACATTAACATATTTAAACTATGTACTGAAATTACACCAATTAGACTGGATAGTATAATCTACAGACTGACCAGTAAATCTGGATGGAGAAGGCGATGACATATAATCAATTAACTTTCCCATGATAATTAACATAATCATAAAACAGTAGAGAGATCTTGCAGCTATGTAAATTATTAAATTGCTTAAAGAAATATGGTGATAGCAAATTCATCCTCAGTCAAATTCAATTCAACACTTTGGTCTCATGTGATTTCATGCAACACTTAATGAAAGCATGTAAAAAAAGTAAAGCTGCATCCATGAGAACATCAGTAATGCAAAGTTAAAGATAATACAGGACTGTTAATTATTCTCATGTATGAGAGGGAAACAGTGACACAACATGTTATGATGTGAAACAGTCAAACTCAACAGCTCTACATGAACCTCAGAATGTGAGAGAAGAGTTCACTCAGTTCAGTCGTTTGCTGTGTTGATGACATACATGGTCCCTATGTACTGTACCTTTAAGAGACAAAATACACCTGGAAATATAATACAGCACAATACAAAACCACCCCCAAAAACTACACCAAAAACAAAAACACCACCAACTCAAAAGTGACCACAAAGTAAACGGAATACCTCTGTGATCCAGTTTCAGTGATAATTTAACAGTATAGCCCCACAGAGCTAGTATCTCTAGTAGTTATTGCAGTGCTATGTTGCATTGCTTTGTGTATCTGCTCATGTTACTGTGTTATTGTGTACTGTGATTACACTAAAACTTAAATATATGCTATGTTGGAGTACCTGTCGAAGTGTAATACATTCCAAGAAATATTTCTGTGTAGTCGCTGAATAATCATCAAGGCACTTAGTGGACGATGTCAGCGTCATTCTGTAATGACTCTACACTACTGAGACTGGTCTGTTTGATCCAATGCTATGTAAACCGTGTTCTCTTCATTTGGCTTCACGTTCTTTCTTTATTTCCTATGAAGAAAATCCTTAGAAGGAGATGTATATCTCCTCAGTCAAAATGTATTTTCTGTTCTTTATAAAACATGTACTACTCTTGATCAACAAAACCTCAAACATTTAAGAAAGTATTTAACTTACATTGTTTGAAGCCCAACCCCCCCGTAGAATATTGATTGAATAGCTCTCATATCACTAATCACACGTTTGTCTCAATAAATGAAATACAGAAATCCTTCAGTAACGTTATTTGATGATTATGAAGATCAGTGGATGTTTACAGAGTCATCTTGAAGTTTGGGCAATGACATCATACTCTGGAGATCTGTCTCTGGGATCCAATGACATGTAAGTTTGGTCCACTTCTTTTGGCTTCACTCTCTTTCTGGATTTCCTTTAAGGACAACAAAGAACAATCCATATATGTAAATAAATACATATTTTGTTTTCTAAAAGCAGCACTGCTCGTCCATCAACAGAGCTTTCATTACAAAAAGTGCAATTCAGTGAAATCACATACCAAAGGAACACCATGCAGACTGTGTACAAGACGTTCACACTGAGAGATACACCAGCAACAGCCAAGAGAAGAACTCCACAGTACGGTCCACAATGTTGATCTGAACCTGTCATAAGAAATAACACAGCACTCTACATATCATATCCCTGTTCAAGTGTTACATTCATTCAACAGTGGTTCAGTGGCTGTATTTTAGCCTCACATCCCCATTTATGCCACAGGGCAGCTGTGAATACTTCAGCCAGGACACTTCAAGGTTTTAATCAGGTGTTGCAACCCAAAAGTCCACTTGAGTTCGGTAAATAGAAAGACACCGTCATTTCTGACATAGAAACAGAGTGGTGAAAAGAAGTGAAAAATGTTATATTCTTCATTAATGAATATCATAATCATAGAATTTGTAGATCAATATACATGATACATACCTTGAACATCAATGTGAATGATGCCGGAACGTCCAGCTCCAAT